AAGGCCTCCACAAAATCAAACTGATAAAGATGTTTTCGCAAACGGGAGATATTTTAAGGTCAAGGTTGCAGATGTTCTACCGCTTCGTCGTTATCAAATAGAAACTATTTCCCTTTGGAAAAAGAAACACGAACCTTTTTTACACTAGACTTTAGCATTCACGTTTTCGCAGTAATAAAAAAATGAAATAAAATAAAATAGTTAAAATAAATAGATTCTTATTGATACCAAGCAAACTATTAGGGAAACTAAGCATAGTTCTTAATAATAATAATTTCCATGAATGGTAGTGCTAACTGGTATAAGTTTCCTTAAAATTGGAATGAGACATATATTTTTATTTATAAGTGCTTCACATGATAGGTACATAGAAAGATATAAAGCCGCCCCTGTTAATTTTTTCGACCCCAAACGCACTACTTAGGGTGACCTGTGCGTTTCTATTGTATTGGGTTCGTCAATACCCCACAGTCATCCCTCCCTATGTGATTTTTATTTTTTGCCTGGGAACTTCTATGCTTCAATAACTCAACTAGACTGTGCTGATTCAATAATTCAATTCGTCTAGTCATATGAATGAAATCAAATATTTCATACCATAAAAATCACACTGTCTGTGTTTATACGACATATGGGTTTATGAAATCAGCTTCTCAAGGCCTTTTATTTGATACCAAACATGACCAGTATATCTGTCTATCTAAAACAAATATTAAAGCGTTACGCATCCGCCATATTGGCCACTTATTGGCGTTACTTGCCGTAGGTCGTCACAAATCCAACGATACATCGATGCAGTTAAAGTTGAAATATGCACCGGCACACCGTAATAATTATTGATCGAATCGAAAAAATTAAAAAATTCTTCTAACTATACAAGGTTGTCGTATTTATTTTAAAAGACTTCTTTGGGAACAATATATTACTTTGATTTTCTTATTTTTTTCTTAACAAAGAGAGGCGTCTACTTACCGTTGACAGTTGCGCTCTGCGCGCGCAACATCCGTTGCATACTATGGTTTTACTATGCACTATCCAAATAAAGTATAAATTCAATAAAAAATCAAATTCGTTATTATTTAACATTGTTTATTGAAGTAACAAGTGTAAAACTACAAAAGCAAATTGCAATATATATTGGTCCAGTTTCTTAACAACCCAAAGCACAACATTAAAATCTATGTACAGTCTGTAAAATTATTTATTTATTAAATTCTTGGAAGACGCGATTGATTTTAAGGCAAATGTATGAATATGATTCGGTTTAAAATATTTTATTGTACGTTGCAAAAGACATTTATTGCTATGTACTACTAGATAATTATCAAATACTGGTCATCATAGTCACTAATCGAAGTTTTTCTTTACTCAGCAACCTCTTCAGATTCCAGAATGGTTTTGAAGCAGAACGGCTGGAACGGATACCCAAGACCAGTGTAAAACTTGCTCATGAATTCCACCCTGCATTAAAATATACGTATTTTATTTATTAATAGTACACAAAAAATTGTCAGGATGTGTTTAAAAACGTACCAGTGAAGTCGAAGAGTGTGAAGAAAAGCTGACAATCCTTCCATAAGGACCAATACACTTACTGTGAACGCAGACCAAAATATGAAAGCAACAAACAGTATAGGAACGCCAATATAAGAGTCTGATGTTAATCCTTGTTGTAGAACCATGTTCCATAATACTTCAGACAATTCTAGAAAAAAATAATAAAGAAATACATAATTACATTATTATTATATTTCTGCAAACATACGACAAAGTTAAGTAAGTAGAAATAAAAATTTTCACCAAAGGAACCAAGGGGAAATATTTTCAGAACGAGCCGAAAGTGAGTCCAGTTTAGCGATAATGAGTATTCGTTTTGATATAACTATGAAATTGGAAATAAATAAAATCTATTCAATAATTGACTTACATGCATGGGCTAGAAACAAGGCCCAAAGACGAAGGTATGAGACAGTGTGAGAGATAGTACTAAATGAAAGTGAGCACGTACGAGTAGAAAGCAAGAATTTAGCGAGTCTGGAATGAGTACGTCAACAAAACCTTCTGTCTATCAAATAAAAACTGAATCTAAGTAACTTTTGTATAATCCAATAAAAATAAAACAGCATAAATATAAATATTCACCAAACGAACCAAGGCGGAATATTCTCAGAACGAGCCAAAAGTGAGTCCAGCTTAGTGATAATGAGTATTCGCCTTGATATAACTATGAAATTGAAAATAAATAAAATCCAAATTGACTTAGGTGCATGGACTAGAGACAAGACACAAAGAAGAAAGTATGAGCTAGTGTGGTAGATACTACTAACTAAAAGTGAGCGCGTACGAATAGAAAGCGAGTCTCAAACGAGTACCTCAACGAAACGTTCTGCCTATCATATAAAAACTGAACGTACTACGTAACTATAGTGTAATCCAATAAAAATAAGAGTACAAATATAAATATTCACCAAACGAACCAAGGCGGAATATTCTCAGAACGAGCCAAAAGTGAGTCCAGCTTAGTGATAATGAGTATTCGCCTTGATATAACTATGAAATTGAAAATAAATAAAATCCAAATCGACTTAGGTGCATGGACTAGAGACGACACAGAGAAGAAGGTATGAGCGAGTGTGGTAGATAGTACTAACTAAAAGTGAGCGCGTACGAATAGAAAGCGAGTCTCAAAAGAGTACCTCAACGAAACGTTCTGCCTATCATATAAAAACTGAACGTACTACGTAACTATAGTGTAATCCAATAAAATTTAAAGAGTTTTCACCAAAGAGACAAAGACAGAATATTTTCAGAACGAGCCCAAAGTGAGTCCAGCTAAGCGATAATGAGTATTAGTTTTGATATAACTATGAAATTGGAAACAAATAAAATCCAAATTAACTTACGTGCATGGGCTAGAGACAAGGCCCAGAGACGAAGGTATGAGGCAGTGTGGGAGATAGTACTAAGTACATATTCAATGGTATGGATTGCTTGAGGCATCAACAATTCACCAAAGTCGGTCGCCTCTTCGCCATGACCTGATGGTGATGGTTTATGTTCTTCGACGATTTCTGGTTGGAGTTCCATTCCTTGATTGATGTCGCCGTTTCTACCATTTAACTGCAGGCCAAACAAAATAGCTTTTCATTATTTTAAAAACCAATCGAATATCAATACTTACGTGATGAACTTTTTTATTTTTGTTCTTGTATAAAGTGTAAAGTGGAGTTCCCAACAACATAACTGGTATACATATAAGTGCGACAAAGACCAGAATCATTTGGAAGGTTGGCTGAAAATCGAACATGTACATGTCGCATCCTTCGTCGACTTCGCTCTCTTTGAACAGGAACATGTTGATGAAAATTATAAGCACTGATGGAGCACAAGTTGGACTCAAACTCAACTCTAGAATACAAAGAAAAGTATTTGAACTCTCTGAGTGAAGAAAACTGAAAGGGAGTTTTACCTTTTCCAGGCCCATACATGACCCACTTCATCAGAGTCATCACCACCAGCCAAAAGAAGAGTGCAACCAAAAATAGCAATTGAGGTAGAGTTTCGAGGATTATGGCATGATAATGACGGAAATGACTGAGTAAAAAATGTAAGATAAAAGTAAATACGAATTGGAAAACTTTTAGGCTTACATGTGATTGATAATGCCGACCAAAACTCCAAAAATCATGTGAATAACTCCAAAAATAATGGACAGTTTCATTTTGTACGAGTTCAAAAAGATGATTTTGTTTGAAGCGAGCTGAACAAGAAAATAAAACACAAAAGTAACAATTGGAAGCATCAAAACTATTATTTTTAATTGTTCTTACCTGCCATGCGGGGTCAAGTCCAATTGGATATGGTTTTTGGGCGAAATTGGCTTCCGGATCAAACTGAAGCTCATTATTACTCAGTACAGTGCTTTCGTTATAATTCACGGTCCAACTGCTCCCGAAAAGGTTTATACTTTTGGAAAACATATCGTTGTAAATAAAACCGGTATAAAACGAGAAAATACCCATGAACAAGATAATGTAACGTCCGGCGAAGAAAATGTTCGCGATTTCGTTGTCGGTTTTCTGTGCTGTCAATTTTTTCTCGCAAATGACCATGTACAATCCAAAGGACAACATAATCAGAGCGTGGCCCATATCGCCGAACATAATGGCGAACAAAAATGGGAAAGTGATAATTGTATACAAGGCTAAAATGAATATACTTTACGTTTCATAAAAAACAATGTATCTATCTACAAACCTGGATTTGCCTCTCGGTAACTTGCCACCCCATAGGCATCAATCAAATTTTGGAATCCTCTAGTAAATTTATTGGTCCTATTGAATGTTGGAGGATCCTCATTGGTGTTGATAACATTCAAGAAGGATGGAATAGAACTGCCGCTGATACTCTAACAGAAATGTCAGCACTTAAAAGTGTCCTAACTCGAAAAGTTATCCAAAATTACTCAAATTTGCATTTGTGGAATTTTGGATAACAATACATCAGTTCCACAGAACTCTTGCAACCTTTTTGACTCACCGATCCATCGGATAAAGCAGTTTGGACATTTGGTAAATCCTTTACTGGCACCCAGCATTCGCCAATAAGACATTTCTTGGTCACATCCATATTGAACAAGTTCAATGTGTGGTATATTGCTTTCATTTTTTTCACCATTACAGTCCAATTTTGGAGTTCTTTTGCCACACTTACCAGGACTCTTTGACGATGATCTTGGGTTTGGTTCAAGACCTGTTTGAATAAGGGTGTTTTAAAATTATTTCTTACCTACAAAGAAAAAAGGAATTACTCACCAAGTTAAGATCTTCCAAACGGGTGTTGACACCTTTGAGCATTTCTTCTCGTTCTGCAGCCGTGCTTGGACATGGATACAGAGATGCATGGTATCCACTGCAAACCTTCTTGATACGACTCTTCAATGCATCTCCTTGAAAGAAGGCCACAAAAACTGTTTTTCTTATCTCATTTCCCTAATAAGAACGAAGTATTGATCAAACAATATAGAGAAGAAAAACAAAACATTTTTCTTTCATAGGAAGAAACCAACTACAATTTATAATAATTATAAATGGGGATGCAATAAGAATTTCAGCTGAATGAATTAGTTATAGTTTTACAAAATGCAATTTTTTAAACTCTTCCCCTGGCTCATGTCAAAAATGTACAAAGGTCATTTGAACCATATAAAAATTACTCACCTTTAAGGAGTTTTCACATATCTTCCGCGTTAATATTAGAAGAAAAAATACCACTTATAAATAAACACGTAGGTTCACATTTTCTTTTACTGCTACTCAATATTTGACAATGTGCAAATTATAAATTACTTACGGTTGCCGGATCTTCTAAGGGCGATTCGATTTCTGCTTGTCTTAAAAACACATTTCCTCTGGAAATTCTCCAAAGCATTCGTTCAAAACCGGGAATCTTTTCTCTGTTGATAACACCCGAAATAAAACCCAGTCGGCCACGCATTTGAGCACTTTGTGGGTCCTCAGGAATGAGAGCCCTTAAAGAACATTTAGTTTTTAGTTTTTTTTTTTAAATAGATAAACGATCTAAGATCAAAAATCATTCTCACTTATGTACAGAATCCATTCCGATTCCACCCTCGTCGTGTTCAGCGAAGAAGTTGGTGGTTTTCTCCAACACATGTTTTAATTCAATCAATTCTAAGTAGTTCGATTTCAAGTTAACTGCACTTTCGGAAAGTTCTTTGATATCACCTTCTGTCTTTTCTAAATGAGCCTAAAAAAAGCAATTGTCTACATAAATCAACCGAAGGCATTACAAAACTTCTATTTTTAAAAAGCCAGTTATATATCTGTGCATAATTTTCGATAGATAGCAATAGGTGTGGGCAATTTTTAATATCCCAATTTGCTACTACATTAAATAATCGTTTCTCTTTTACGAGGCGTAATACAGGCGTATTATTTTATATAATATGCATAAATAATTTGTTGTTGCTTCAGAAACAATGAAGTTATCGTTTTTGAAACCTTCGGCATACTATACGGCTTTAAAGTACATAAATATAGAAAACATAATTATGCATATGTAATAAAAATGCACCATTGGATTCTTTACAAAATTCTAAGAAATATTTTCTTTTGTAATTTTTTTCTCCTTTAGATAGTTGTTGAGTACTTAGCAGTAAAAGTTTAGCCAATCAGAGCGCCTCTATTCCGCTGCATGCAAACAGGCGCTGAGTGGTGACTCGCAAGTTACATCTACTGCAACATGCACCAAAGAAATCGCACTGAGTCACACATTTGCATCGAATTGCCGAGAATGCATACAAATAGGCGCTGCCTGTTGATTCGCAAGTTACCATCTACTGCAACATGCACCAAAAGAATAGCGCTGAGTCACTCATTTGCACGGAATCGTCGAGAATGCACACGAATAGGCGCTAACTGTTGACTCGTAAGTTATATCTACTGCAACATGCACCAAAACACTCGCACTGAGTTACTCATTTTCAAGAAATCGCCGAGCATGCACACAAATAGGCGCTGACTGTTGACTCGCAAGTTACATCTACTGCAACATGCACCAAATAATCGAACTGAGTCACTCATTAGCACCAAATCGTCAAACATACACACAAATTGGCGCTAACTGTTGACTTACAAGTTACATCTACTGCAACATGCACCAAAAGACTCGCACTGAGTTACTCATTTTCACCAAATCGTCGAGCATGCACACAAATACGCGCTAACTGTTGAGCATGCACGCAAATAGGCGGTAACTGTTGACTCGCAAGTTACATGTACTGCAACATGCAGCAAAAGAATCGCGCTGAGTCACTCATTTGCACCAAATCGTCGAGCATGCATACAAATAGACGCTGACTGTTAACTCGCAAGTTATATTTACTGTAACATGCACCAAAAGAATCGCGCTGAGTCACTCTTTTGCGCGTAATCACCTAGCATGCAGCAAAAAAGATAGAAGTGTACATTGTATAATTATTATTCATCGGATCGAAAAACTGTAAAGGAAAATGTTTCTTGAAATTCCGCAACGAATCTAATGGTGTACATTTTCTGCAACATAAGCAAATAAATTAAAATGTTAGCTTACTTCAATATCTATAATTTCTCTTGGATTTGGAGCCTTAGGCAGTTCTAAACAATCTGGAATGGGAACGTTATCTTTTCGAACTTCCGTCTCGATGTATCGAAGTCTTCTTTCCATTTCATCACAACGGCGCACCTCACCAACAAACTTTCTTTGGAATGCGTTGACATTTTCATTTAACTAGAAAAGACAAATTTACGATGAACACGCAAACGAGTATTATTTCCTATTTGACACAGACAACACTCATGTCTACCACCTTCAAAATGATATACAAGGTCCTTTTGAACGTCAAACTGCTGACAACCAAAAACTAAACGTCAACTTTTTACAATATAAAAAATATGCTCTAAATTTCAAGTGAGTCTCAAACATTTACAACAAAAATGACAATGTGACGAGAAGCAGAGAAAAATGCTGCCTCCAGAACGTTTCACGCCTCGAGCTAGACGGGGGGCGCTCTTTAAACAACTGTACCCCTACAGAAATATAATAAGCATTTCAGCAGTATTTACGACTGCTGCATTTCAGCTAATAAATCTTCCTATATGCATCCAAATATGCAGCAACAGATCGACACACGGCTATCTTCCTCATCCCAGTATCGGCAATTTAGTAATAAATATCATCATGATGAAATACGCTGCAATACTTTGTCAATCGGTTCTCTACTACGCCAGTGTCATGGGGGCTATTCTTAACATCGCATACCTAATGTTATTTAACTGCTATGCAATGGACCCGTTTGTGGAAGTACAGTTACCATTTTCTATAGCAATCGTCTTCATTGTTTTAGTCCTTGGATACACCTACATCGAAGTAAGCCAAGCTTTTCACGTTGTAGATTTATTTCATCATGGGATTTTACTAAGGGCTTGATGTTTTTAACATTTACTCTTAATTTAATTATTTACAGAATTACAACAACTAATTACAATTTCCTTTTCTCAAGAGCCTCGTAAAAGGGGGCTGAGAGACACCATTTTGTTAATCTTACAAAGAAGCGATCAGTTTTAACGTCTTTATTATTATTTTTTAAGGATGACGTCAACCTTCCCCGAAGATTTGGTGTTTTGCTAGTTTTTATTTACACATTTTATCTAGCCGCTCCATTAATTTTGGCCGATGGAGATAGCTTACCGCAAACCATTTCCTACGTATCTTTACCAATGTATATCATTGGGTTTTTGATGTCAGCGGCATGGTTTGCATTGGAAACCATATTTAATAATTTGTATCTGCAAATTGCTCACGCTTTGGGATTGGTGGCATACGGGGCTCAGCTAGCACTAGCATTCGTACTTGATGGTCTAATGTTATTTTCCGACGAATGTGACGACGAAGTATAATAAGTCAATAATACTTAATAAATAAAATGTATAAGCCTCAAAATGTTATGGTTTTAATGTTTTAAGTTTTAGCATTAAAAAATCACCGTTACATTCGATATTACTTGAAAAGTGCATCAATGAATAGCTTTCGAAATTCCAAGACGCTTTTCTCTTTAAAGTTTTTGTCTCCGATGTGTATTAACGGAACCCTTGATGTTTTAAGTTTAAGATAGCGAACCAATCAGAGCGAATCTTCTCTGCTGCAAGCAGCAGCAAGCGACTAGGCGCTAACAATCGAAACATATGTCGCGCCTGCTGCAAGTTGCAGCGAAGTATGCGCGCCTTGATTCGTTCATTGTTTTATTAATTACTCCGTAACTACACATCCGATCAAAAAACTGTAAAGGAAAATGTTTCTTAAAATTTCGAAAAGAACATGAATTTCAAATTTTATCAGAATTTCCCCGTATCCATTCTGTGTACCAAACGTTTGTACTTGGTAGAAAATAACTCGCTCTTAACAAAAATGTTGTAACTATAACTGCACGCAACTTTTAAAGCGTGGAACAAGCTACAATTATCTACATAATTGTTCTTAATTAATGTATCGTTTCTCTTTAACTTACACATATGTATTTCATTTGCACAAAACATATGCGTTCATTTAAAATAAACTAGTGATATTGACAGATAAAAACAACAAGATTAAAACTAGTTAAATGCGGAAAATATTTCCTTTACAATTAATATACGAAACAAAAATTTCACTGGTGCATAGTATCTAAGATGGGGCTAAAGTTGACAGTAAAATTTATCATTAGATAGGAACAAATTTTTAAATGAATTTATGAAATGAATTGACTCTCGTTGTGCCTCATTTTTTATTATAGAAAAAATCGACTGAATTTTGTTAAAAAAAACAATGAAAATGCAAGAATTTTCCTTTCAGTTTCACTTTCTCTTGCTATCCCATAATTGATATTGATTAGTGTTAAAATCAATATTACGTTTTGTATTCACTTACATCCCTAAATTGTACACAGCCGCTTTCACCCAATTCCGAAATTGAAAAATATGCAGCCTCCGGTTGTATAAAGAGCTGGGCCAGGGCCATCTCCTCACTCCGAAACATCGCCCCCATATTGGCGGAATTTTAAAAAACTGTAAAAAAAATCACTAACTTTAATTATTTTCGAATAAATAAATCGATTTTAAAGACCAACGGAAAATGCTGCCAGTAACTTGACAAATAAAAATAAAAAATATTTCTTAATTTGNGTGTAAATAAGAACTGCAATACTATAAACTATTTTGGTAAGAAGTCTCGTCTTCTCCTTCAAAAAACACGAATCCACTTATTACAATATTTAAAAAGTACTCCTTCAGTAATTGTGCTATAAATGTTTCGAAAACTACCACGTATTTAGAACAAAATTCGCACTTCAATTTATAACAAAGCATACAATAAACACTTACAACAACAATACTTAATTAAATTAAATATTAAGCGCGTTTTAAAAGTATTTCACGTGGTCACAAGATCTGTCACACCCATCGGATCTTCAATTCATCGCATCCAGCGAAGTTCCCGTTATCCTGACCATCGTTTCAAACCGCAAACACGACACAAAAAGGCATATTACTGTACATAAACATTATAACAACAATACACTCAATTTAAATGGCCATTTACTAGAAGACTGGAACTAAACGAATCATGTGATGATGTGATCACATGTCTACGCGAGTCTTCAAAATTTTGTAGGTATTTAATAACTAATTACGGTAATTAAACGGGAGAACTTTATATACTTTGTTAGATAACCGTTTATTAAATGTTTTAAATTGCTATTAACTATTATAACACAGCAAAGAACTTTATTTGGGTCAAGACCAAAACACTTTCGAGGCTTCGCAATCTTATAACATGTAACGCTAACGATACGTATAACTAAAGTTAATAAATACAAAACTACTTGATAAATAATTTTTCTGTATAAAACGAAAAGCAAAATTGTGGGCCGGCTCGCGAAATCAAAATGAAAAAAAAAACTCACCGCTCACAAACTCCTCGCGTAACAAAACTGTAGTACGTACTAACTTGAGGCTGATTTTCACTCCAGTATCGCGGTCTGATAAAGGTGTTGTACATTACATATCATGTGATAAAGTAATGTTTACATGGTTATTTACGAAAAACGTTACAGCCGCCCCCTCCATTTTCAACAAGCCGCCGTCAGTTTTGTTCGAAGAAAGGTATGTCAAACTTATAATAACTCAAGAAAAAATCTATGGGTTCCTTTCAGATTTTCCTTTCTTTTTTTTAGTTGAAATTTAATTATGTTAACGTTCTTGTGAAATTATGTTCTTTTTTATAAAAGTTTCGCTTCCAAAAAAGTTATTTGTTCTAACTTTACTGACTGAGACTGGGCCCGAATTATGTAGCTACCTAACTGAAAATATTTTCATTTTTGTTACAAATATTGCTAAACATTAAGAACATTCAACTTCGCATACTTTACCTTTCAACATTCTTCCTCTTATCAAATTTATCTCTAGTTATCTGCATTTAATGTTTGCAATTGCCTGTATCATAATGTAAATTATTTACATTTGTATTTAGCAGACCCTGCAGTATTTGCTAAACAGCAGTATATAAAAGTTCTGTAACTACTAAAAGCACTATATTTCTCTAAGTAAAATCATATTTTTTTTTAATACTTCGCTCTGTATATTCCCCGAAAAAGTGATTTACTGACAACTCATGATCGGTTAGAGTGGCTGGTGTATAGGTGTTAAAAAATTAGATATTTATTTATTTTTACAAACTAATTGAAACATTATACGAATAATATCCGAAACTGAGAGCTTCAACAAGAATGGTTCAGATAAATTTGGATCTTAGGACTGAATTAACTTTCAAAATATAAATAAGTTAACATCTGCAGAACATCGATCGATATTTCCTGTTTTGAATTATTATTGATCGATAACATTTTCGTAAAAAGCAAGTTACCAATTCAAAAATGATTCTTACACAGTAGACAAATTAATTGAATTCTAAAAGAGAACACTCAGTAGAAGCACAAACAGTTACTTCAACACACCTTCCACAAACATTGTTTACATATAATAATATGGACTTAATTGTTACTAACATAGACTAGAAATTATCACAACAAATACTAAAAGTACTTCAATAACACATTCATCATTCACTCATTTTAATTGCTGTTCTAAAATTAATAAAGATAAGAAACAGAAAGTTTAAGTTACAAAATAGTTCATTGACAGCATCACCCAGTGACTTCTTCATGAGAAGAAATACTAAACTTATAAGTTCTGAAACAAAATTGCTTATATCCATATATACTAAAATAAAGGCTAATTAAGGGTGGTGGTTGACAAATTGCAATAAAAAGAGGAAACTAAATGTTTATAAGAGGAGAATTGTTTACACATATAAATCTAGTCATTTATATTAATCCCTGATGAATTTATTCTTTTCTAAATGTAAAATGGTCTACATAACTAGAGTCTGGTTTACGTAGTTTTTGTTCGTTCATCCGCTCCTTAAAACATCTACTTGTTTGGCCTATGTAGACTTTCTTACAGGTACCACTATTAAATTTATAAGCGCTTGATTTTGAATACTTATTTCTTACTTGTAGCTTCTTTATTGTTTCTAAGTAATTTTAGTAAATTTTGATACGTACGTGTTAGATTTCATTAACAAAAATATTTCGAAACTGAGAGAATTCTAATCGTTGATTATATCAATGATAAAAATTCTGATACGTTCTTTCCTGTATTTATTTGAAAGGTATCGAAAAAAGGCTTATTTGTACTGTACGACAATAAAATTGGTATTTGACTGGTAGCGAGTTAATAAAACAAATTATTTATCAAGTCCGATTTGCGATCGTATCAAGTGAAATAAAATAACGTTTTACCTGAAATTTCCGGCAATTCCAAATCCATTAAAACTGGCGTCCGTCATTATCACAGCGTTTGTTTGAAATAAAACATCTAAATAGTTTAATTATTTACATCTGCAATCCGCGAGACATGTACCTATAATATACCCGCTCTGCTAAACATTAATCTCCTTAGTAATTTTAGCTTTTTAGCGTGTACGTAAAAATAGCATATTATGCCAACGTTGGAGGTAAAAATAATATTCGAGTTTTCACCAATGTTACTATTGTATTGTAGGCAGAACACACGTCAGATTACGATAACGGTGAAATTTTGAAACGAAAAAAAAAAAAATACGGTTAATTAACTAAAAGACACGCAACCTCCGCAAAAATTAATTTAAAACAAATGAGGGCTGTGTAACAAGCATACTTAACAAGTTTTATTAGCCGAACGTATTTAAAAAAAATTAGCATAGTTATTGTTCATTTAATTCTCTATTTCGCATTCAGAAGTTTACAAAATAGCTGAAATATATTTAAAATAAAAATTCCAGTGTAATACTGAAACATATTTTTCAATTTTAAAAGAGTTAAATGCGGAAAATATTTCCTTTACAATTAATATACGAAACAAAAATTTCACTGGTGCATAGTATCTAAGATGGGGCTAAAGTTGACAGTAAAATTTATCATTAGATAGGAACAAATTTTTAAATGAATTTATGAAATGAATTGACTCTCGTTGTGCCTCATTTTTTATTATAGAAAAAATCGACTGAATTTTGTTAAAAAAAACAATGAAAATGCAAGAATTTTCCTTTCAGTTTCACTTTCTCTTGCTATCCCATAATTGATATTGATTAGTGTTAAAATCAATATTACGTTTTGTATTCACTTACATCCCTAAATTGTACACAGCCGCTTTCACCCAATTCCGAAATTGAAAAATATGCAGCCTCCGGTTGTATAAAGAGCTGGGCCAGGGCCATCTCCTCACTCCGAAACATCGCCCCCATATTGGCGGAATTTTAAAAAACTTTAAATGAACCAAAAGAATCGCGCTGAGTCACTCTTTTGCGCGTAATCACCTAGCATGCAGCAAAAAAGATAGAAGTGTACATTGTATAATTATTATTCATCGGATCGAAAAACTGTAAAGGAAAATGTTTCTTGAAATTCCGCAACGAATCTAATGGTGTACATTTTCTGCAACATAAGCAAATAAATTAAAATGTTAGCTTACTTCAATATCTATAATTTCTCTTGGATTTGGAGCCTTAGGCAGTTCTAAACAATCTGGAATGGGAACGTTATCTTTTCGAACTTCCGTCTCGATGTATCGAAGTCTTCTTTCCATTTCATCACAACGGCGCACCTCACCAACAAACTTTCTTTGGAATGCGTTGACATTTTCATTTAACTAGAAAAGACAAATTTACGATGAACACGCAAACGAGTATTATTTCCTATTTGACACAGACAACACTCATGTCTACCACCTTCAAAATGATATACAAGGTCCTTTTGAACGTCAAACTGCTGACAACCAAAAACTAAACGTCAACTTTTTACAATATAAAAAATATGCTCTAAATTTCAAGTGAGTCTCAAACATTTACAACAAAAATGACAATGTGACGAGAAGCAGAGAAAAATGCTGCCTCCAGAACGTTTCACGCCTCGAGCTAGACGGGGGGCGCTCTTTAAACAACTGTACCCCTACAGAAATATAATAAGCATTTCAGCAGTATTTACGACTGCTGCATTTCAGCTAATAAATCTTCCTATATGCATCCAAATATGCAGCAACAGATCGACACACGGCTATCTTCCTCATCCCAGTATCGGCAATTTAGTAATAAATATCATCATGATGAAATACGCTGCAATACTTTGTCAATCGGTTCTCTACTACGCCAGTGTCATGGGGGCTATTCTTAACATCGCATACCTAATGTTATTTAACTGCTATGCAATGGACCCGTTTGTGGAAGTACAGTTACCATTTTCTATAGCAATCGTCTTCATTGTTTTAGTCCTTGGATACACCTACATCGAAGTAAGCCAAGCTTTTCNCAAGGGGTATAAAATAATTAAAACGGATTTCCTGCTTTTTTTCAACAGTCTCACTATAATTGACTCGATTACTATTAATTCAAATTAAATTTTCTTTCATTGTTAATACAAGATTATACGCTCGACCATTACTATCAATACGTACTTACATTTTTAACGATTTTTGTTATAAATTCGTTTTCTGATGAATTTATTTTATAGTATGTTGGTCACATAACAGTGTTATAAAGATACTGATATTAACGATAAGACAATCTTATACAAATAACATTCACGACACGTACAAGTCAAACACTTCTTCTTCCAGCAACCAGCTTCGTTTTTTAAGCTTATCTTTACGAAATGTTTACATAATAAATACAATCATTACAACAGAGACGTTTGCATGTCTGCATTATTACTTTACTGATAAACTTCTATATTTATACACACACACACATATGTGTAATAAATGTTCATATTTAAATATTGATTGCCTCGTCTTCTTTATTAATAAAGTTGTGAGATGTACAATTAATTTTTTATTTTCCAATTAAGTTTAGCTCTAGGTGCGTCAATTATTTTTGGACGTGCCTGTAGATACTGCAGGTAAAATTCAGCCCTGACACTGTTTTGTAATTAATAATTATTTTACCACATTCGAAAGGCCAAGAGGTCGCACCGCACAGAGAATGAATATATCGGAGATAAGGGAACGGACGACATTTTCACCTGTTCTCGTTCTGTTTTTCCTTTTAGACATAATACACACAAAACAGTTTTACGTACTAATCGACATACATATAGGCCTTGGCCGAATTAGTTGCACTTTTTACTTCTTTAATCGATTAGAAATAACCTATTTAAAGCATGGCATTTTACGCTAAATGTAATAAGCTGTCTTTACGAAGAAAAACCGCTCGCAAATACTATAAAATAATTCAAAATTTGTGAATACAAATTTATTTATTATAATAAAAAAATTACCTTTACTTATATGCTTGTCCAAAAATTCTACAATAAATACCAAACACAATTTGAAACAATTTAAAACAGAGAACCGATTTATTAATTTATTTATCTATAACAAAAAATAGTTTTATAGAGTTAGGAGGGCGCAGTTACATTTTAAAATTGAAAAACACAAACAAATTATTTGGTGAATGGCTGCTGTGAAAGGAAAAGGCAGCAATAATATAACAATTAGACATTGTATAGGTACGAACATTTTAAAAGACAATAATATCAAAGTAAATGCGTAAACTTACATGAGATTAGTGGGAGAGACAGACAAGTGTTTGAATTAACTTATAAAACACGTGAACATTAATGAAACAACGTATTCGTTCGTTCATTCGTTATAATGATAAAACACAGAACATCAACTTTAACTTAAACGACTTTAACAGTGCGAAACAAAGTTCGTCGCTGACTGACGCCGTAATTCTTCCGCGGGTCATTTTCTTGCTCGAATAAATGTCATACTATTAAATATATCGGAAATTACATGATATACAAGTACAACACAAACAACATTGGCTTATCATCCAGAGGTGTACGTTGAAACAACCAATACACATGCGCCAGTAATTTTCTATTACGGCCAAATTCAAATTAACTTTTTTTTTTCATTATCATCATTTTGTACACTTATATACAACGTTACACAGACAGAAAGAGGATTTTTATGCGCAAGGTCACGAACAGAATAATAAAATACCAAACCGCTAATTAACTACCTGCCAGTAATTACTAATTAGTTAATAATAGAATGTAGTCGTTAGGTAATATTCATAAGTGGGGTTGTATCTCTAAGAAAGGAAAAAATAGCACAAATTACCTGACTAGTAAAAGTAGTATCCAATTTTGAATTATGTATCTGTACGTCTACTTGTTTGAACGAAATACACGACATCAAAAAGAGTGGACAGATTCGAATGTGGATTTTACTATTGTATTTGATAAATATATGGGAATATTTAAGGATTTTCTCATGAAAGTTCCTCGACATTAATGTTTTGTACCCTAGTAAAACTTCTGGTCGCCTACAAAGCGTAAGATTACCGAAAAGTTTCATTATTTAATAATGTACGCATTTGTTAACGAAACGAATTCGTAAAAAAGTAATTTAAAAATAATCTTTAAATAGGTAGATGCACTTGCTAAACTTCCTAAAAATTTTGTATAATTCATGATTACAATAATTTTTAATTAAGAAATCATATGAACCAAGCACCGAAAATAATTATAATTAAAAATTGCCTACACTTCTAACTGGGAAATAATATTCTTAATCACTTAATCCTAGAATAATCACAATTAAAATGACTTAGTGAGTACGTCCTTTGCATACAAATCCATTTCTTGCTTTTTACATTTCAGTGGCTCTCATTCACGGATGCATAGGTTCGATAATGCGAACGAGAACTTTTGCTATAAAAATGAATCATTTTCAACCGTCATGGACACGTAACATAATAGTAAATAATCAAAGCCGCATTGCTCATGGTCGTTTTTCTATGTACGTAGACACCTTGGAGAAAAAAATGCCAGAAATGTTTGTTAAAACAAAATTGGCTTTTTCTTTACAAGACGTAATATTCGAAGAAAACTACCTTTGCTCGGGAATAACAAATCTTTCCTATTTATAGAACAAATTTATTTTGATTTTATTAACGTTTAATATATTAACCTTTTCAATGAATTTTAAATTATAATAAACGTACCCACCTGGAAATGTTGTGTTTATAGCCTAAATGCTATTATTAGCATAATATAAACATTTTAAACATTCTGTATACCTGTTTGAAATATAATTATAATATTCAGCGCTGTTTCGTCCAATTTAGTACGAGTTTTATAGATTTATCACATTTGTGTTTCTCAATTAACTTTAAAATGTTATTTCTCAATACAGATTTAAATCTGATCCTTATTTAATGAAAAAGCCACCAAGTTAGCTTTTACTTAACTCCATAATTTAGCGGTAAATTGGATTTCGCGGTATTGATTTGATTTTCTGCATCGTCGCGTCACCTAGGGGCAAGACTTATAAGTAAATCCACTCGAAAAGTTTAAGAGAACTGCAGAATTCATTTATAAATTATTTTTCTCTTAATAAATTNTTCAAACCAAGTTAAATCAGTGCAAACATTAAGAGCTAAACCATGTGTGGTTACATAACGGCTGGCATGAACACCTATGGCACAAATCTGAAAGAAGAACCATGATTCAATTCAATATGTATGCTATTATTCTTCTTGCATTTACTTTATTATCTCCAATCCACACACCAGTATGAGCTGACGTTTCTGCCTTTAAGTTAAAATCTTTGCATATTTGAATTACAGTTTGTTCAATATTACTGACATAGTTTCTTAATCCGAGATTAAAATGCTTCAGATTTAAAATTGGGTAAACTACCAACTGTCCAGGACCATGAAATGTTATCAGCCCCCCTCTATTGGTACGATAAAATTCAGCCCCAGTCTCCAGTTTGCATACAAAAAAACCAACGATTCAATAAACAGCAATTACTATATGCCAAATTTTCTTTCTTATTTTTAATTATTAATTTCAATTTTACTATCATAAAAATAAAAAATTCATTATCCAAGAGTTTATACTGTGATAATTAACTTAAAAACTTTTTATTTGCTTTTTATAACATTTAATTGGAACGATACGTTTTTAATACTTTTGACGCACTTGTACCAAATTCTGGAGACTTCATTACCACCTACTGACAGACATCTCCTGTGCTGAAAACAGACCACAATGGTAAAAATACCTGATCTTGTTTAAAACAGTAGCAAAACTTTGCTTTTGAACTACATCTTAAGATATCTGCTGAATTGTTTTTAAAATACATAGAATAGTTAATTGTTCAAAAACAAAGTGTAGATGTATGAGTAAAAAGACTACCACACCTTTTAAATTTGGGGACATTACATCCTTGTTGATCTGCCTTCGTAAGTTAAGACTGCTCCCCTAAAAAGTTAAAATTGGCAGTAGAAAATTGAATTGTGTAAGGAAACAATCATTTAGGCATTTTAAATGCCCCAACTGAGTCAAAAAATATACACAAAAGTGCTCAGTCAAGGCTCACAAAAAAAATATAACAAATAGATACAGACATTTTATTATACTTCAACCATATACTCCAGATTAGCTCTTCTTGTTCCATGCTTGGGCTGCATTTTCATTACAAATAGAACAGAATTCCAAGGATACACGATGTTGTGAAACATGCAAACAAATCCCTCCATTTCTTTCCTCAAATTCATTTGAAATAGTGTAATTGTGCTCATTTAATGCATCACAGTTTGATTCTTCAGGCTCAGAATCTAAATTTTTTGTAGGTATGATGACATCAGAAAAAAGACCATCCTCCAAACATGAAGACAAATCATCTGTTAATTCTGACGTTTTGAATAAATCATCTTCAGAAGCAGTGGAATGATGATAATCAGGTAGAACTGTTGCTGATGACAACAAGGGTGTTTTAAAATTCGTATCTACTGATTCTTGATGAACAAACTTACTAGAATTAAAGCATTTCTCTTCCTGAGAAACATAAACGTTTTGCAACGACGAAGTGACTGACATACCTGTACATATATTGATATTTTTCATTAGCTGACGTAGGTCTGAACTGTTGGCCAAAATACCCTTTAAATAGTTCACCTCTCTTTCCAAATGTATTATAACATCTGATTGTTTTGTTAATTTGGCTGATATACTCCTGTTTTCTGATTTTAATCGATTATTTTCATTTTCTAGATTTTGCATATAAATTTTCTTCTTCAGTCTATTTTCTCGGGCCATAATTGCATTTCTTGAGTAGCATTTCGAACGTTCTCTAGACTTTATCTTTTTTAATTCCCCCTTTAAATTTAAAACCGCCTCTTCACTATTTTCTCCGCTATTTTCTTCTCCAGAAGATTCTGTTTCAGAAACGTAATACTTGCGTTTTAAATTATACGTCATTTTGAAGACAATTACTTGTTTTGAGAATAAATGAACCTCTGTTCAAGCACTTGTAACTCTTGGAATTTCTACAATTTCGAGAAATTAATAAAAACACTTCTTATCAAATTACAACCCTTTTACTGTTGCTGATCTATGTACTATTGACTATCATGTTGTTTGCTAACGTGACGTCATATTGGCAACCATTACTGGCAACCATAGATAAGCTGGCAACCATTACATTTAAGCGCCACTTTTAAATTTAAGGTGCGTTCAGAAGTATTAACGAAATTAAAGTAATATATGTAGTTCACAACATTAACCAGGGGAAATCCGGCTGGTTACTGAAAAGTTATCTGAAAACAATGTACTTAATAATATATGACAATTATTCGGAGTGTGATCCAAATTAATTTTATTTTAGGACCATAAATTATACCCAAGTTTGTAATAATTGTCTATTAAACTTTTAACATTTTCTCATCAGTTATTAGAAGAATATTACAATTATTTAGCTATTTATTTTCTTATTACCTAATAGTGTTTCATCATAATTTTCTATTTTCTTGTAAATTTCATCAGAAATATCAACACAAGGATATTTAAAAACATGGGTAAAGTTTCTTAGAAAAACAGGAATAACTTCTTCTATATTAACATGCCTTTTGAGTTCTTTTGTAAGAGAAGTCACCCCTTTTCCTTCAATCCCACAAGGCACTATGTGTTCAAACCAAGTTAAATCAGTGCAAACATTAAGAGCTAAACCATGTGTGGTTACATAACGGCTGGCATGAACACCTATGGCACAAATCTGAAAGAAGAACCATGATTCAATTCAATATGTATGCTATTATTCTTCTTGCATTTACTTTATTATCTCCAATCCACACACCAGTATGAGCTGACGTTTCTGCCTTTAAGTTAAAATCTTTGCATATTTGAATTACAGTTTGTTCAATATTACTGACATAGTTTCTTAATCCGAGATTAAAATGCTTCAGATTTAAAATTGGGTAAACTACCAACTGTCCAGGACCATGAAATGTTATCAGCCCCCCTCTATTGGTACGATAAAATTCAGCCCCTTAAAAAAAATGGCTGAAATCACTGTATGAATATCATAAACTTATTTTCTATCATAAACACACACCTGTCTGCTTAAGTATTTCTTCATCTTTAATGGAATATGGTTTAGTTCGGATTCCTGTTGTATACACGGGCGGATGTTCTACTACAAGTAAGGTGCCAGGGGTGTCTTCATGCTGACGATGATAATTTGCCAGAGCTGCCTGTAATTTCAATGAAGGACCATATGCAACTTTTCCCACATTAAATATAGCTACCAATTTATTCATTAGGAGCTATTATTCTACATAAATAAGAAATTAAACATCAGTTAACCTAACATTTCTGACAACATTAGCCTTGAAAAGCATCATAGATAAAAAAGTATTGAAAGGCATCATAGATAAGAAGGCATTGAAAAGCATCGTAGTCATAGATAAACGAGCATAATCGAAATAGTGACCATAGAAAAATAAGTAAATAAGAGCATAGATAAGAGGTATACAGCTGATGTGCTTCTTTTTGTGTTGTGAATAATTCAAAATATTCTTTCTAGGAGTGAAAAATAATAAAATACGCATTATTTGCTTATTTAAAAATGTTGAAAAGGATTTAATTAATTAAATGATCAATTTTCACAGGAGTATGAATCACTTTAATGGCTGTCACCACTGACATTTAAAAACAAATTGTATTGCGAAGACCAATTTAATTCCATTTTACGGTACCTTATTTTAATTGTATTTAAAATTATATATTCTAAAATAATCAGTCGTTCTCAAGACTAAAGTAGAAGCATATATTTGTGAATTACAAAAATGAATAGGTTATTTGGAAAAGGCAAACCAAAGGAACCTGGTCCTAGCATTACCGATGTGATAGCTGGGGTAAGTACCCTTTAAAATCAAAAAAACACGTAAGAATCGAACAATTGCAGGTCGATCAAAGAGCTGAAGGTCTTGAGAAAAAAATCGGATCCCTAGATAATGAACTTAGAAAATTCAGAGATCAAATGGCTAAAATGAGAGAAGGCCCAGCCAAAAATGCTGTAAAAGCCAAAGCAATGAGAGTTCTTAAGCAAAAGAAAATCTATGAACAACAACTGGACAATCTTAGAGGTCAGTCTTTTAACATGGAGCAAGCCAATTTTGCCCATCAAACACTCAAAGATACCCACCAAACAGTGCTGGTAATGAAAGATGGGATGAAACAAATGAAAAAAGAATTTAAGAAAATTAATGTTGATGATATAGAGGTAAAAGATAAAAGAAATACTTACATTATAAAAGTAGTTGTTAAATGGTGTTTTTTTTTTTAATTAGGATGTACAAGATGAGCTTGCTGATATGTTAGAACAAGCAGATGAAGTTCAAGAAGCACTAGGCCGTAGTTACAACACTCCTGAATTGGATGAGGATGAACTTGCTGCAGAATTGGATGCTCTTGGGGATGAAATAGCATTGGATGACGACACTAGCTACTTAGATGATGTCCTGAAAGCACCAGAAGCACCCAGTAATAAACCCGAAGCTGCAGATCCACAAGTTGTCAAAAATAAGGTAAATTTCTAATATTAAAAAAAAAAGTTCCAAAACAATTTTTATATTTAATATTTAATTATGAAGTTTTAATAATTTAAATTTCTTATTAATTCTTAGGATGGAGTTGCAGTTGATGAATTTGGTTTACCACAGCTTCCAAGCCAAAACTAACACAGTTTTATTAGTCTATTTTATTTATATTCTTTAATTATTAAGTGATAATTTTTAATTTTGTATTTGTAATTATAAACTATAAAATATCTAATATTGCCTTAAAATGTTATCTTTTTCATAGCTTCTGTCTAATTTGTTAAAAACTGTATACAATTCAAGGTAAGGCACAAATATATTACAATAAAGCTTTAAATGTTTTATTTACTTCATGCAATTAAAAAATTTTACTTACTAATTACTACACTGGTGAAGTATCAGAAAGTCTAGGAATGCAATTAGATGAGGCAGTTTCAGTCTGTTTATACATTTCAATCATATTTAACAAGGTTTCGCTACATTCTTGGAAATAATCACTTTCAAATCCACTGGTTTGGGTGTAATGATGTATATGTGCCTAAAAATTTTCTCATTAATTTTTATTATTATTTTTTTCGATGAGCTAATTACCTTTCGATTATAAAGTCTTTTAAATGATAAATTTATATGAGAAAATAATTCAGACATCGTCGTTGTATTAAATAAAGACATCATAGCAACTTGACAATTTTGGGGGGCAACAGCACAATGCCCTACCTTGACAGCCTTGCGAGACCAAGTGGTAAAGTTTCCCTTACTTTGTAATTTTTCTACAAACTTTCTTAAATCTGAATTATTCACATCACCTCTTGTTTGTAAAGCTGCACTAAGCAGAACTGAAGTAGGACCTAAGAGGGACATTAATTTATCACACTTTTACAACAAAAAAAGAATTACTTTAATAACACTCACCTACAGGATTAATTTTTATCAGTTGATTACTCTTACTTCTAATGGAATGAAACATTTCTTCTTTTAATTTAGGCCTAAAAAATATGTTTCTTTTTGGTCAGACTTTAACTCATTTTAATTTAAATTAAGGCTAAGTTTATTTACTTGATTTTGAAAATTGCCTTCTTCATTGGTGTAAAAATAGGGGTAATTCCTGAAGATAAGAAGTGCATGTTAGGAAATGGAACCAAATTGGTGCTTATATCACTCATGTCCATGTTTAAAGCACCTGAAAATCTGGAACCACTATATTTTGCATTAATTCTAATTACAATTGTGTAAAAAGTTATTACCAAGTCAAATGCAGCAGTGAATTTACTATAATGCTATTCATATTTTCAAATGTGGTGTTTTCAGCAAAAAATCCTGCTTTTTCGTTGTGGGGCCCTTTTCTTTTTGCTTCCACAGCAATCATTTCAGTCAGAGCTCGATTTTCTGCTGGAAAAACGCAACTTGCATGATCTATAAGTTGTTTGGTAGATAAAGCCATATTATAAGGGCAGGTAATTACATCTTCACTTCCTATAGGATATACACAACTCACAAACCTTATAAACAAAAAATTTTTATAATATACAGTAGCTCAATAAATAATGTAGTAGTACCTATCAACGCTTGGATAATTATCCTCTAATAATCTTAAACAATAAGTTCCTAATCCTGATCCTGTACCACCACCAGTTGATAACATAAAAATAAAACCTTGGAGATTATCAGATCTTTCTGCAACTTGTCGAACTACATTTAATATGTTATTTTTAAACTTTCTTCCATGAGTATAGTAACCTTCTGCCCAATTGTTACCTGAACCAGGAGAATTAGTTATGATGAACTTGTCATCGAAAAGATCCTTAAAAGGGCCATTTCTATATCTTCCTATAACACCTTCTTCCATATCAATTAAAATAGCCTGAAATATGTAAAATTTAAAACCGTTTACTAAATAAAAGTTAAACGAATTAAATTAAAGTAACTTACTCTAGCTCTAATTTTTGTCTAGGAGTGAAAAATAATAAAATACGCATTATTTGCTTATTTAAAAATGTTGAAAAGGATTTAATTAATTAAATGATCAATTTTATTGTGTAAGGAAACAATCATTTAGGCATTTTAAATGCCCCAACTGAGTCAAAAAATATACACAAAAGTGCTCAGTCAAGGCTCACAAAAAAAATATAACAAATAGATACAGACATTTTATTATACTTCAACCATATACTCCAGATTAGCTCTTCTTGTTCCATGCTTGGGCTGCATTTTCATTACAAATAGAACAGAATTCCAAGGATACACGATGTTGTGAAACATGCAAACAAATCCCTCCATTTCTTTCCTCAAATTCATTTGAAATAGTGTAATTGTGCTCATTTAATGCATCACAGTTTGATTCTTCAGGCTCAGAATCTAAATTTTTTGTAGGTATGATGACATCAGAAAAAAGACCATCCTCCAAACATGAAGACAAATCATCTGTTAATTCTGACGTTTTGAATAAATCATCTTCAGAAGCAGTGGAATGATGATAATCAGGTAGAACTGTTGCTGATGACAACAAGGGTGTTTTAAAATTCGTATCTACNAAACGATTCATTTTAATTTTATGTTTAGTGTAGTTTTAGTGAATAATTTCATCTTTTCAAAGGGAGATAGTAAGTGTAGAATAATGTTCGTCGTTTAGGTTATGTATTTGAATAAATTATTATATAAATTAATACTTTTTAGCATTTTTTATGCAACAAGCACAGTATATAGAGCATGTCCCTGGGAAAAATAAAGATGATTTTCAAATATACTGCTACAAAGGACGACCGAAAAGTATTGTTTACATTTGGCAAAGTATTTCTGTTAGTAGACTTTTTAAATCAAATTTACTAATTTATGCTGTGTTTGCTTTAAAATAATTATTTTTAACAGTTACAAATACATTCTCCATCGAATAATTTTGTCTACTATGAAGGAAAAAGTCCAGAAGAAGTGAAGAAAGAGTATTTAGATCATCACTCGAGATGGATGCTGAATTTCTTTACATGGAAACAGAAAGCCTTTAAGCTTGATCCATTTGGAGTTAGTTGCATTGGGATAAGCAGCTCCGAGTTTTATAGTATCCATCTCAATGTTATTAGTAATGAAATATTTTTATTTATTTAACAATTTTCTCAATTTCATTAAGTATTATCCATAATGTTACAAGGATTAATAGCTTTATCAATTCAAAGAATGATCCATTTTACATCTGAGCATTCTTTACCTTTCTCCTGAAAATTAACAGTATTTGACAGTACTGTCTCAACGTCTTAGTGGTAATTCTTTTCATCACAATCTATTTAATTTTTAAGGGGTGGACTACTGGAAAATTCTCAGTTTAATAACTGGTGTAATTCTGTTTTTATGGGCTGATAGACTGAGTGTAAATCCCATTTTTTATTACTTATGTGGAATAAGTTTTGGGATATGTGCATCTTTTTTAATACTAATTTACTTCTTCAGCAAGCTGTTTCCAAAAGTAAGTCACCGTCCTTTTAATTTAATTTATGATAAAGGTTGTCTTTTTCAACATTTCAGAAACCCATGGTGTACGGTGTTGCTGTTTGTGGCTGGACTGTTGGAGTTTACTTTGCACAGCTTGTTTGGGAAAATATGCAAATAATCCTCCTTAATTATCAAATGTATGTAGCTTGGTATATTTTAGGGACCGGACTGATAAGTTTCATAGGTGAGATGAATAAAATTAATCTTTTTTTGTTATTTTTTAAATATATTTTTTAAAGTTTATAACAAAAATGAAAAATAATTTTATAATACTTTTCAAAGTGTGCTATAGGTGGGGTCCTGTGACTAATCAACGCACAAAAAACCTTATTCGATGGACTCTACAGGGTGTTGGTTTATTAGCAGTATTTTTTAGTAGTCATTTTCAAGAAGCTGCAATGGGGCAAGTGATAATTTTACTTACCCTACATAACTTTCCAGATAAGTGGATAAAAATGACTAAAACTTATTGGTAACTTTCTGCTCTGTTTTTTTTTTTATTTCTTTTTCATTAAATTTTCATTTTAGGAAAAGAAAATTTCCTCCAAAAGTTCGTTTATTGACGAATGATGAATATTACCAACAGGGAGTGAGAGAAACTACCAAAGCCCTAGAAGATTTACGAAAATACTGTTCTAGTCCTGAGTGTAACCAGTGGAAGACTGCATTAAAATTAAAAGATGTTAAAAGGTATCCAGAGTTAAGTAAGCTTAACTGTTTAGTAATTTATCTTTTTTCTTAGATTTGCATCTTTTATAGAAGGTGATTCACACATATCTGATGACGAAATTTTAGAATATGAAACTGCTATTCAATCCACTGACCTAACTGACGAAGAAGATATGTTTACTGATGATGAAGAATTAACAGACTGATTTAGTGTTTATAATAATTTTGATTTCTACGTTTGTCTTTATTAATAAAAACGCGCTTTTTAAATTAAAAAGTATTCATTTATTAATTGAAACTGTGGTGTTAGCAATTTAAATAATCAGACAGTAACTTACAATTTTATAATAACATAGCTCATTAACTAAAAGAATAATGCAAGAAGTCTCACCAGAAAAATACTATAAATAGTCGAAAGGTTTTCTTTTAAAGAACAGTTCTTCTAATATATTCGATTCTTTGTTTACTTTGTACTGAAGTCCTTTAGCAAAACTAAAAAGAATACTTAATTACTAAGTCTAATGCATTTATAATTTAAAGTCATACTTTTCATCAGATAAGGGATTTGTTTGACTGGATTTATTATCTACATTGGACTTTTGATACTGAGTAAATGATTCCTGTAGATTTGCCTCTCGTTTGAAGGTATTAATGGTAGCATTTCGACTGGTTTTATGTTTTGTAAATTTCTTGTGTAATTTTGTACATGTGTCTTTTGTTTTAAGCCAATCTAGAAGGACGCCTTTGAGTTGATTATGAAGAAATTTCATCTCTTCCAATAATTTTTTTTCCAGTTTATTTCTTTCTGATTTTTCATTTTGGATTTCTTCTTTTAAATGAACTATCTAAAATTAAATAGTAATCTTAAATGTGTTAAAGTAAAACTTAAAAAAAATGTACTAGTTCCTACCTGTGTTGTGAAGATTTTTTTCTCGTAATTAAATATATTTTCTTTTTCTCTAAACGTCGTTTCTTTTAATTCTTTAATTTTAATTTCCCTTTCAAGTTCTTCCAAATGTTGCATTAGACAAGCCTTTTCATTTTGATAATTACTACTTTTTTTTTCCATTTCTTCAATTAAAGAGCCGTATTCCAACTTCAGATAACAGTAATCACTTTCTAAACGAGCTTTATCTTCTAAAACTGATGCTAAATCTGATAGTAAAGTAGAAATTTTATTGTGCTCTTCCTGATATTCTTCACTTTTACTGTTTTTTGGGGAATATTGTAGGCTTCCTTTACTTAAATATTCATGTAAATTTGTTGGCATGTCTTATTAATGACATAAAAAGTCAAAACATAAAATAGTCTAGGATTACTTGGTTGAAACTCATAATGAATATAGAAAAAAAAAACAATTTGTTAATTAAATTTTAATCACACTTGACAATTGTTTCGCCAAATGTTATACAATGAGCAATTTAAACAAGTTCATTGTATAACTTCTAAAGACGAAGCAAATGTAGAATGTGATTGAAATTTACAAATTAAGTGTTTTTTTTTCTGTATAAAAATTATAGTCAAAACAAAATTAATCAGAAATAACAGGCAGATCAAAAAAGGAAAAATTATTATATTAAAAGTAGTCTTTTATAAAAGATCAAAAAAAT